AAATATCACTCCTAACTTCAATCAAGTCAAGAAGGAAGGTCCAGGAAGCTACACGCTACTCAGCTTCAGCCTGATCCCTGTGCAGGTGGGGAAGCAAATTTTCCTGGCAGCCGTATCCAGGCACATTAAGGGCAAGGAAGTGATTGGGGATAGTAAGCTTGGCTTTACAAAGCCAAGCCAGCCTGGCAGCCTTCTACAATGAAATAACTGGCTTGGTGAATAAGGAGAGAGCAGTGGGAGTTGTTTATGCTGACTTTAGCAAGGCTTTCAGCTCTGTTTCCCATAACATCCTCATCGACAAACTAGTGACCGATGGACGAGATGACTGTATCGTGGAGTGGAGTGAAAACTGGCTCACCCACTGGGCTCAGAGGGTTATAATCCAGCAGAAAGTTGACCTGGGGGCCAGACACTTGTGACATCCTCCAGGAATTGATCCTGGTGCCAGAACCAGTTTAATATCTTCACCAGTGACTTGACAGATGCAACAGAGTGTACGCTCAGTAAGTGTGCTGATTGATCCAAACTGGGAGGAGCGGCTGATACGCCAGAGGTGTGCTGCCATTCACAGAGCCCTTGAGCGGCTGGAGAAAAGAGTCCATGGGGATTTCATAAAGCTCAAAGGAAAATGGCAAGTCCTGCGGCTGGGCAGGAATAGCCACATGCATCAGTACCAGGTGGGGCCGGTGGGCAAGAGAGCAGAAAGGATCCGCTAGTCCTGGCGGACACCAGTTGAGCAAGAGCCAGCAATGCACGCGTGTGCCGAAGGCGGCCTGCAGCATCCCGAGCTGTGCTGTGAGGGGCTTCCAGCAGGCTGCAGGATACGATCCCTCCTGTCTGCTCAGCACTGGTGGGACCGTCCTGGAGAGCTGCGTCCAGCTCTGGGCTTCTTGGCTAAGAGAGACCGCAACTCTGCAGCGCGGCCAGCAAAGAGTCGGGGCGTGATGAAGAGATTGGAGCCTCAGACACAGAGCGGGAGGCCGAGGGACTGTGATTGTTTAGCGCAGAAAAAAGAGGAGGCTCTGAGGGGTTTATCGGTGTCTATAAAAACCTAATGGGAGGCAGTAAAGAAGGCAGAGTCAGGCTCTTATCAGTTTTATCCTTCAAATGGACAAAAACCAATAAGCATAATCTGAAACACGGGAAATTTCACTGAAAATAGCTTTGTTAAAAAAACAAGGTCCTGAGCAACCTGCCTTAGCTGACCCAGCTTTGAGCAGGGACTTTGGACCTGACAGACGTTGGAGGTGGCTTCCAAGCACCATCGCGCTGTGGTTCTGTCCCTTGGCTGCATGGGACGTGCAGTGGAGCCTCCACAACCCTGCCAGGCCCCCGGCGCACGGCTGTGCTGGGGCGCAGCTGCAGTCCTGGCAGGGCACAGGGCAGCGACAGCAGGAGCTGCACGTCGGTTGCTCCCTTCTCCCCACGGGACAGCAATTTGCTTGATGCCACACCAGCACTCTGACGCTGTTCAGTGTTTCCCTTTGTGTATTTATTCAGCAAATAGTGTCTAGCTTTTGCCACGACTGCAAAATAATAATAAAATGTTGATTACATAGAAACAATATGTATCTCATTAAATCTGACTACATGAACCAGTTGCCTTTCTCATAAAGAGACATTTACTTTGCAGTGCTCCTTAGAAAAGACGTAATACGCTAAAAAATGAATTGGCTTTGGTCTTAAAGCAGACATTGTTTTCCTGTGTAAAGACAAGAACCAGTAAAGATAGAGGTGTCTGAGAAAAAAGCCACAAAGTGACAGGTAAAACAACAATAATGCTGTTCATGGAGACTGCATGCTCAGGAGATTCAAGGAGAACCAGTCCTAGTTCTCCAAGGTGCTAGTGAAAATGCAGTCTTAGGTTTTAAAGAGTAACAAATGTGCCTTCAGTCGTCCTTCTTGCAGTGCCAACTGCATTAGAATTTCTGAATTAACCTAAATTATGGTTTTGCCCATATCCACATATCTTCTGTGGATAGGGAAATGGCATCTCACCAGTCTAATGTTCTTCAAGTCTATCAGTAAAATAATGCAAAATGGATAAAACCCAGAGCAAGAAGCTAAGAAGCCAAGTCATAATGTTGTTAAAATGCGACGGTGCCAGGTATCAGAGGGCTGGCGCAAATACACATCCAACGAGGGAATCAGGGGCTGCTGGGAGGCGTGCGAGTATCTGCAGGCTGTTCGTGGTCCCTTTCCTCATCCTTACTGATGCTGAATTTACTTTCGAATATTGTCAGCTGCTTTACTGGAAACGTCACATACGAGATGTGCATCTTGCAGGGGAAGAGCAGTCCAAAATGCTTCATGAAAACCGTCATTAGAACACAAAAAGAATTCAAATTGTCCTTCCATAAGCGGGACCTGCAAATATCCTTGTGCTGATGGAGAGAATCGAGAGAGGAAAACACCAGAACGTCTCCTGACAGTGGGGAACAACAACGAAACAATCCCAAGAGATTAGGAAGCTGGTGGGTTTGTTTGTTTAACAAAGTCTTCCCATAAGAAAGAGAGAATAAACATAGTGGAAGCTTACAGATACTAGGTATTTTGCACAGTGGACACGTGATTTGTATCCTGACAGGTGCCTCTCATCTCAAACCTCCTTTTTTGTGCAGTTTTAACAGACTCCCTGAAAACAAAAGAAGCAAGGCAGCTTCATTTCATCCATTTTGTCCACTCAACTGGACCTGAGCTTTTCACATTTTGTGTCAAAAGACAAGTACTTAGTGACACTGCTCCCCGATTCAGAGGTTCTGGCAGGGGCAATGCAAGAGCGCGGCCGCGGGCTCCGCAGGAGCCGGTAGCTGTTCCACGGACCAGCGGGTGGGAGTGAGCGTGTCGGCCGGGGTGACCCCCGCTGCGGGACCCCACGGCGGGACCCCACGGGAGGGCACGGCGGCCGCCCGGCCCCGACAGCAGCAGGAGACAGTGGTGGCAGCAGGGCCCTTACCCCGGCTTTGGGGCCGAGGGCCGCTGCTGCTGCTCGCTGTCTGGGGCCAGCGCAACGTGGGCAGCAGCAGGGAAACACTCCATGTGTTTTCTTACAAAGTAGAGGCCTCCTTGAAGCCTCCCACGATTACGACAAGCAATTACTTTGTTTAGAACAGAAAAGGGGATGGCCAAGGCATAGTCCTCTCATCGCTGATGCTCTGCTCCTGTTTCCATTGAGGCATGATCTTTCCAGGCTCTTCTGTCTATAGGTGTTTCTCCTGGAGAGAAATAGGTCGCTAGTGGGATGTCCTTGCCAAGGTCCTCCACAATACGCTGCTGTGGCCAAAATGCCTCAGTATTTTGCGTCCTGCTTGGCACCCAGGCTGCTASGGCAGAATGCAGCTCCCCTCCCTACGCTCCACCTGCTCTTTCTAAACACCTCTTGCCAAGTAATGAAGCCTACGGGAAGCAAGGACCTGAGAGAGACAATTGTTGAGACATTTTTATTCCCAATGTCACAAAAACGGCTTGCGCAGAGCTAAAGGTCCGGCACATCAGTGAAGGCAGTCAGCTCCATCCTCAGTGATTCTCAGTTCCCCTGGGGAGGATGCAATTTGCTTAGCAAGTTTATTTGCTCAGCGTGTTGGTCAGACCCAACTTGGGGCCACACTCAGCCCTGGTGAGAGGGGCCTGGCTCTGCTAAACCCACGGCTGAAGGGTTACTGTGCACAAGGAAACACCCTCTCAGAAGCTGCAGGGACAGGCAGCAGCACCACACATCAGCATGGGCAGCAGTGGCTCCCTGTGTTCAGACAGCTCTGCGTTGTTACCCGGTGCCTACACAAGACTTTTGTTAACCAGGTTTTCTCTTGATTCCTTCTTCCATCCTTCCTTCCTTCTTTCCTTCCTCTTCTTCCTTCCACAAAAGCCCAGATAATCAAATCTCATCTTACACGTTTTCCTGCAACATCTAGAAACCTAGAAGCCAGGGCTGCAAGTTAGTTGTTAAAGCTGAGAATTTAAACTTAAAATGAGACTTCTTATTTCCAGAGAAGGAAATTCTAACAAAATTCTTCAGAAGTTTGTCCAGTTCTCCAAATGCAATGAGAAGTTATGAGAGCTAAGCAAATGACTTAACAAACTATATTAACAGGACTGAAATTCTGGACAGAAGACATTGAATGGCTCAATATCCTTGAGTCTAATATTTAGGTACCTTTTTCTGTGTGAGAAAAGACCAACCTAAGGCATTTGACCTTAGCAGCCAGGGGACAGCAGTCAAAACTTAAACACCAAAAACGCACGCCAACCTTGCAGCATCAGACAGAAATCCAAACCCATTCGGGAACCAAATAACTTTATTTACAGCATGATGTTTAAAACACAGGTGGTATTGAAAAAAAAATCCTTATGAAGGAGAAAAATCAGCAAGTCAGGCACCTCCTTAGAAGAAAGGGCTGGATATAAGTGTTAAAAGCAAGAACAAAACAAAACACTCCTCCCTCTTGCACATCCTCTGCCCCAAAACACCAACGTTTCCAACTTGTTCTATAAGCACAGAGTTGGAACGGGCAAAGGCAGAGCAAGAAGAGAAAGAGGCAGCCACATAAGTAACAGTGACTGTGAGGTGAGGACAGGTATCCTGTGAAAACACTGTACCACCAGCCAAAGTGCTTTATACTTGAAAGTTTAAGTGGGCCAAGTTACCTGAATGTAAAGGCTGTAAGTGACTAGGAAGACGAGCATTTAAAATAAGAAATATAACATAGAAACTGTTTAAGGACATCCCAAAATAATACCCCAAAAAAGAAAGAAAATAAAGTAGAAAAGTAGAAGAAATATTAAGGATTACCAGTTAGAAGGAGGGAAAAAAAAAACCTTAAGAGACACTTGGGAAGCAATAAAATATCAACCACCAGTAGCTTTAAGCACGTGAAGATTTCCGACCCATTAATGCATACCAGGTCATGCAGAGATCCACCACTAGATGCTGCTAGTGAGGAAAGAAAAAAAATGCAATAATAAATGAAAAATGCAGAAATATTCACCAGATCTTATTGATCTGTATCTGGTACAAAATAAGGGTTGTATATAATCTTTTATAATGATAAGGAAGGGACAGAGACGTTAATACTTTTACTAAAGGAGGATATATGGCAGCAGTTCCTACAATTAAGTATTTTTTCAATCAAAATCCCCAATCTTCACACGATTATGTGAAAGGAACTATTTGAGACTAAAATACCTTTGGTCAGTGGTAAAATAATGCATTGGTTAATATGAGGCTCAGCCAACAACGCTTTAGTGCCTGGCATCATTGATGTCTATCAAGCACAAGTTCAGAGAAGGCAGTCAAACTTCTTCTAAATATGCTACAAATACTGATTTGTTAGTCAATACTTTACTAATAAGAACTTGAAATCATCGAAAGCACATTACTCAGTACAACATAAAACCCTCTTTAAAAACTATCATTGTAAGAAACGAATATGGTACAGTTTAAATTAGACTGAAAACCTCACATATGAGCAGATCTCAAAATGCAGGAAACATGAAGACAACAACGAGCACGGCAGAATTTTGCGGGGTCACTTAAAACCAAGTTCTCATAAGGCACGTAATAATTTTATCAGTGATCTGCAGGATTACAACACTTTGTCAGTATAATTTGCCAAGAATCAGTCCTGCAATGCCCAGTCAGTCACGTGCAAAGAAGTCTTTGCGCTGCCATTAGACATTTTGCTACTAGGCTTTATGTAAAGAGTTCCTCTTGCAACTTCTATAATCTCTGTGCAATCAGCTTCCGGCCTTTTAATATGAATTCACAACATCCACTGTCAGCTTTCACAGGAAGCACTGGGTCTCATGCCCCGGGCAATCCAAATGTACACAGTGTATGACCCTTCTCAGGCACTGGATCACCCTCTACCACCTGCCACTAGGACTTCTGCAATGTCTCTAAAAGCTCCTGCAGGCCTGTCAGCCAGACTAGCCAAACATAAGACCTTCTGCTTTCCCTTTGACAATGGCTTTTAACAATACCTTCTACCAGAAGCTCGAAATTTGAATCACGATATAAGATTAAAGACAACCTTGTTTCTCAAACTGGATCCAGGCAGGCAAAGGCAGAAGAGTTAGTACTGCCCTGCTCACCGACACACTTTTTCTTTTTCCCTCTTTTCTCCTTAACAGGCTGTGGGAACTGAACAGACATTAGCATCTACTCTTACCATAAAGTCTCTTGACTTGGCTGCCTATAGCTAGAACTAGCACCCCCCTCCCCACGTAGGCCTTTGAGGAAGCCACCTGTACCACTCATACGGGAATGAGCACCCTAGACACTAGTGAACTGCATGCCAGGTGTCTGTCAGGCTGCAGTGGTGCTAACAGATAAGGTTCTTCTAAAGTGCCCCAGCATCTGCATGCTGCACGCGTCAGTCAGCATGCAGACCTTGTGCATTACAGCTTTTTCTCACACATCCTCAAAACGTGTCACGGCTCCACATCTTGTCCCAGGGCCGATCCAAACAATGCAGGTAGAAGCCATGTCCCGCTCAGCAAGCCCCTCTGCCAGGTAACTCAGGCTAGCTCTGTTTCTTGAGCCCTGCACACGCAGTGGACACGCTCCTTTGCATTGTAATACACCTGCCCGCAGCGCAGGTACGGCTCGTCTCGCTGGTACCACAGCTCTTCGTTGAACTCTGGGAAGAAGAAGGCAATTTCTCTGCTGGCCGATGCTGGTGAATCTGTTACAACAAAGAAGAGCAGACAGATACTAAAAAGATACCACAAACAGACCAAGCCCCAGAGGGAAGAACAGGAGTTGAGGATGTAAAGCACCAGGTTTCATGTCACAAAAGAGGCACAAACAGATTCTGGAAAAGTCAGCAAGTCATTAGCTCTGATTCCCAGAGCAGGAGGCGAGCAAAGACCGAGCGAGCGGCATCACTGACGTGCAGAGCTCCAGTCCTCACCCAGCACTAGGCCTACCTGAGCCGTGTGTGGTGTTCCTGGTGTCTGTAAGGCCGTAGGTTCCTCGGATGGAGTCCGGCACACAGTTTCGGGCTCGAAATACTTTGGTGGGTCCCATAAGAGATCTCCAGAGGGATATCGCATTCTCATGAGCCAAGATATAAGCCCACATGGGGCCGCTAAAGAAGGATCAGGGAAGATCGGAAATAAATAAGGTTACAGCAGGGCACAACTTCTCCCTTGTTACAAACAGGGCAAAATCAAAGCAGCAGCCGCCAATGGGGCTCTGCGGGAGGAGATGCAGGGCGGCCTCTCTGCGGCACCAGGTTCAGCAGCCAGGTACTCGCTCCAGAGAGCAGTACCCGGCTCTCCCGGGAACTGCCTGGCCTGCCCTGGAGGAGCCCCGAGGCTGCCTCGCGCACCCATCCCGGTCCCGAGCCCTCCGTGCGCCCAGCGCCGCGGGTACCTGGCCATGAACTCCACGAGCCGCTGGTAGAAGAACCGTCCTGCGGGGGAAACACGGCCTGAGCGGCGGCCCCGGCACCCCGGCACCCGGTCCCGGCCCGCCCGGCCCGGCCTACCCGCGTGCTCCCGGTAGAAGCGGCGGCTCTGCTCCCGGCCGCAGCGCAGCTCCTTGGCGCGCACGATGAGGAAGCGGTGGCTCAGGATGGTCTCGTGCACGGCCTGCGGGCAGAGGGGCATCGCTGGGAGCGGCAGCGCCGAACCGGGCCGGGCCGGGCCGAACGGAACCGAACCGCCCCGCCCACCTCCAGCACCAGCGGATGCGCCACCGCGTCCGGCTTGAGCAGCGCCAGCGTCAGCTGCAGCGGCCGCGCCGCGCGCCCCGCCGCCATGGCCGCCGTCGCGCCGGTGACGTCACGAGGGGGCGCGGCGCCGGTGGCGGGACGCTGTGAGGCGGGGCGGGGCACGAGATGGGAGGGCAGGAGGAGGGCGGGGCTGTGAGGCCTCTCCCGGAGGCGGGGTCGGAGGCGGGGCCGGGACAGGAGGCGGGGCCGTGGCCGGAGAGGGGCCAGAGCAGGGTGCGGGGCAGGAGGCGGGGCCGTGGCGGAGGGCGGGAGCCGGGGCCGGGGCGGGGCCTCGCCTGTCGCGTAGC